AGTTGTAATTGGACACAAATACCTTTATTTTTATGTGGTGCTGAGGGTCAAACGTGCTAGGTGAACGTTCTACCGCTGAGCTACAACCCAAACCCAAACCTTATCTTTTAAACAAGTTATTTTTTTGGGGGGGGGGAGGCTGGGCATAGTGACACACACCCATAATCCCAGTGATTCTCTTGAGAGGCTGAGCCAGAGAATTGCAAATTTGAGGCTACTGAGCAACTTAGCAAGACCCTGTCTCAAAATAAAAAAGATTCTAAAATAGGTTGGGGATGTAGCTCAGTGATAAAACGCCTCTGGGTTCAATCTCCCATACTGAAAAAAGTTATTTTTTTGCTGGGTGTAGTGGCGCAGGCCTGTAATCTCAATAAGTCAGGAGGTTAAGGCAGGAGGATTGCAAGTTCGAGACCAGCCTCAGCAACTTAGTGAGATCCCCAGAAACTTAGTGAGACCCTGTATCTAGACAAAAAATAAATAAGAGAAAAGAACTGGGTGTGTAGGTCAGTGGAAGAGCACCCCTGGTTTGGGGTGGGGACTGTAAAACAGTCATTCAAGCCAATTGAACAAGTGTACTGTGATTGTAATTGTCTTCCTGGGCGTTTTGTTTCCTCTCGTGGTAAGAACTGCTTAATTTTTTATTTGCTCAATCTATGCATCCATCATCAGTTCATTCTTCTTCTTTTTTTTTTTTGAAGTGAAGATTTGATTTCCTCTCCAGACAAGAATATTTTCTTGTCACAGAATTCTCCAGAACGTACAAATAACACGGTTTCTTCAACAAATGATGGGCTTAGGGTGGGGGACAGGGGAGGGAAGGAGGGAGGGAAGGTGTTACATAAGAGAGATTGAAGAGACCATAGCAACGAAATGCCACAGGAGGGCCTCATTGTGATCCTCCTTCAGACAGACTTGATGTCAAAAGACATTTTAAGACAACTGGGAGAAATCTGAATGTGGACCAGGTCTTAGAACATGGTAAAGAACAGGCATGTTTATGTCACAGTGGCCTTGAAGGTTGTTATTTATTGATTTATTTGGGGTCCCAGGGATTGAATTCAGGGGCACTCAACCACTGAGCTCCATCCCCAGCGTTATTTTGTATTTTATTTAGAGACAGGGTCTCACTGAGTTGCTTATGTCCTCGTGTTTTTGCTGAGGCTGGTCTTGAACTTGTGATCCTTCTGCCTCAGCCTCCGGAGATCCTGGGATTACAGACGTGCGCCACCGCGCCTGGCATCATTTATTTTTTATTTTTATTTTTGTGGTGCTGGGGCCTTGTGCATGCTAGGCAAGTGCTCCACCATGAACCACATCCCCATTGCTTTCATGGGTTAAAAAGAATTCCTTACCCATTAGAAATACTTGCTCAGATGTTTATTTGTGCCATGATATCTGGGGTATCATGTCAAATATTTGCAAATATTCCAGAACCCACCCCAACAAAACAAGTGGGTTTGGGAGATTATATATTGATAATTATGAAACAGAGTGACGGACACACAGAAATTTATTATACTATACAAATTCTCCATAATGAAACTTTAAAAATAAAAAAAGATTCCAGAAACAGAAGAAAGGAAAAGGGTACGCTGGGCTGGCTCACCCATCTTGTGAGCGGGTTGCAGAGATAAAGTGTTTAGCTGGAGGTGGGGCTCAGTGGTGGAGCACGTGCTGAGCATGCATGAGGGCCTGGGTTCCATTCCCAGAGTGCTCGACTAGCACGTGTGAGGCACTGGGTTCGATCCTTAGCACCACATAAAAATGAAATAAAGATATTGTGTCCACCTACAACTAAAAAGTAAATATTATTATTTTTTTAAATGTGTGATTTGTTAGGTACTCACTTCCTGAAACCCAGTTTTTTGAACACTGTGGGTCTTCCCAGGCTGACTCCAGTGAGGCAAAGCCCAGAGCTGGAAGGAAGCCAAGGTGGGACCAGGTGGGAGCAGGGCAGCTGGGCTGTGTTAAAGCACAACAGAAGCTCAGGAATGTGCTGGCTGGCCCCTGAGACCCCTTTGCACCCAGCGACACAAGGGTCTCCTTGATAGTCTTTTTTTTGGGGGGTAGGGGCAGTACCAAGGCTTGAACCCAAGGGTGCTTAACCACTGAGCCACATCCTCAGCCCTTTTTTATATTTAATTTTGAGACAGGGTCTCGCTAAGTTGTTAAGGCTGGGTTTGAATCTGGGATCCTCCTGCCTCAGCCTCTCAAGTTGGGATTACAGGTGTGCAGCATGGCACTCAGCTCTTCAGTGTTTTTTTTTTTAAGTAGACTCAAAGAGTTCTCATCTATCACCACATTATTATTATTATTATTATTATTTAAATTTTTCTTTCTTTTTTTTTTTTTTTCTAAAAAGGGCAACAGAGACCATTGCCTGTCCCTTTGCCCATCTCTCAGGACTGACTGACCCATATTCAACTGCTGTTCACATGGAACCCTTCTCCACTTTGGCCTTCAAAGTTCTCCTTTGAATATTTGATACTACCACCAAGATCTGCACCTGTGGCAGCTCCACGGGGCCACCCCCTAGGCTTCCAGGCTCACCACAGCGGCCCTCCTCCTCCTTTAGCAGGTCTGCAGATCTCTCTCGCCTCGCCCCTGTCCATTGTGTTCTGACAGCCAGCGACAGCCGGGTCCGGGCCTATGCTCCAGCAGCATCCATTTTCAGGGCTAGTTGATTCAGCAGGTGAGTTGTTACACACTCCTTAGCGGTTTCTGACTTCCATGGCCATCATCCTGCTTATTATTATTTTTTTAATATTTATTTTTTAGAAGTAGTTGGACACAATACCTTTATTTTATTTATTTTCATGTGGTGCTGAGGATTGAACCCAGGGCCTCGCACATGCTAGATGAGTGCCCTACCACTGAGCCACAACCCCAGCCTTCACCACATTATTATTATTATTATTTTTTGTGGCGCTGGGGATCGAACAGGACCTCATGTGTGCTAGGTAAGACCACTGGGCCATGCCCCCAGCTCCTGTCACGTTCAGCTTTAGAACACTTCCTGTATCTGCTAGTTTACATCTGGAGTGTCCCCCAAAGGATTATGTGTTGAAGGCCTGGTCACCAGCCTGTGGCTCTCTTGGGAGGTGGTAGACCCTTAAGAGGTGGGGCCTAGTTGGAGGAAGTTAGATCATTGGGGGGCGTGTCCTGGAAGAGGATATTAGAACCCTGCCACCTTCTTTTCTCTCTGCTTCCAGCTGCTGTGAGGTGAGCAACTTTGTTTCACTGCACATTCTCACTGTGATGTGCTGCCTCGCCACAGGCCCAAAAGCCACATGAAGTGAAACCTCCCAAACCGTGAGCCAAAAAAACCCTGTTTTCTCCTTTCAAGTTTAATTTCTCAAGCTCTTTGGCACAGCCATGGAAATCTGCCTAGTACATTACCTCCAACAAGAAAATCAAGACCCATTAGCAATTACTTCCCATTACTTCCCATTCTTCGTCCCCCAAACCCTGGCAACCACAAATCTACCTTGTATTTCTATGGATTTGCTAATTCAGGATGTTTCATAAAACATGGGAGGGGTTATGGGTGTGGTGCAGTGGTAGAGATGAGCTTAACATGTGTGAGGCCCTGGGTTCCATCCCCAGCTCTGCAAAAAAAGAAGAAAAAAGAGGGGTATGTGTGGTGTGAGGATTCATGGTTCATCTGTACTGTAGCGTCGGTACTTCATTTCCTTTTATTGCTGAATAATATTGTCATATGATGCACCATATTTTATTTATCCATTTATTAGTTAATGGATAGTTGGGCTGTTTCTCACTTGGTGACTTTATGAATAATGTTGCTATAGCTGGATGCCATTGTGCACACCCGTAATCCCAGCAACTCAGGAGGCTGAGGCTAGAGGATTTCAAGTTGGAGGTCAGCCTGGGCAATTTAGCAAGACCTTGTCTCAAAAATAAAAGGGACTGTGGGTGTAGTTCAGTGGTAAAGTGCCCCTAGGTTCAATCCCCAATACCCGCCCCCTCCAAAATGCTGCTATGAATATTTGTATATTTTGTGTGGAATGTTTTCATTTGTTTTTACTAGTTGTCTATTGATAGGACGTTTAGATTGTTGCCTTTCTCCCTTCTACTGTTTTTATTGTTTCCATAATCATTAGCACATGGCAATAACTGCCTCACGTATACTGCTTGGCATGTCTACTGGCAGCACTGGTACAAGAGGTGTTCCAGTGGCATGCTATTAAAGGCAATAGCAAGTCCCTCTTTAATTTCTGTATTTAAAATCCCCCAGGGGGGGGGATTTTTTTTTTTTTTTTAATGGACCAATTTTGAGAGCCTCCATGTTTCTAGGTGAGCAGATGAACCCGCACATTGCTTAGCCACTTAGAGCACTTACCCTTCAGCTTAAGATCAGGGAATACCCTGTCCATTTTGTCTATCTGCTAGCAGATCTGCTGGGTCACCTGGAAATTTTGTTAGCCTTTAGAGGACTGCCAGACTTTTCCCAAGTGGCCGCACTATGTGATCCCCTTTTGACGGATGGGGAGACTAAAGCCCAGAGAGGGGAGGTGTATTCACGCAGAGCCAGGCAAGGGCGAGGAGCAGGCACTACTGCTCCAGGGGAACCCAAGGCCACCCCATTCTGACCTCTGGACCATCTCGCTCTCACTTCAACACTCTGCACCCCTTTCCCTCAGTCCCTCCCAAAGGCTCCCTCCTCTACCACCATCAGGGTCAAGTCTGCTTCTGAGATGACTCATGAGCTCATCTGCCTCTGGCCTTAGATTCTCAAAGAGGTTCTGTGACCTTACAAAAAGGGTTTGTTATATAAGGTTTTGTTTTGTTTTGTGTGGGGGATGGAACTTGGGGCCTTGTGAATGCTAAGCTCATGCTCTAGGGCTGAGCTACACTCCACAGCCCCCTCTCTGGGTTTTTTGTGGGCATGGGTCACATCTCTCACTGTTACTCTCTCCAGCACAGGTCTCAGACACTCATAACTGGTGGCAGAAGCTGTCAGTGACCCACAGAGGCAACACTTTCACAGGCAAAGAAAAAACAGAACGGTTTAATTTGTAGAGTCAAGAGTCGTTTGTTCTTGATTACAGTGCTCAACATGCAAATTACATCCATCTCTTGGTACAGAAATGGGTCTCTGCCATTTCCCTGGGACTGTTAATCTAGACAGAAAGATTCCTGGGCACCCTGATCAGCAGCTGCCTTCTCTCCCCTCTGACAGTGATATGTGAATTCTCTCCTGTCCAGAGTAACCGGGAAATGAGGTCTTTCGTTCAACTGAGTAGCCATTTACAGTACAGCACCATTGATTTGTCAATGGGTTTGATATATTCTGAAGTCTAGATCAAGAACTTACATTATTGAACCTGTCTTTGATAATCCCAAAGGCACTTGAGAAGCCGGCAGTGCCTCGGGGTCATTGATTTTCACTGGACAATGTTAAGACTTATCAAAGGTTTGCTTATCAAAAGTCTGCCCTGGCCCTGGGTATTCACTCTGAACAGAGTTTATCTGAACAAGGTTTGGACACATTTTCTGTGTCCTTCTGTAGGCTCAAAGTGAATAATACAGGGATATTCATTTTGCTCATCCATAGTTTCTAAAGTCTGGGACATGAAAAAGGGGTACTTTTGTAAAGAAAGTTAAAAATACTAACCAAAAAATTAAAGGTAAAATGCAGAGGGGAAGGTGCTTGGATCCCAAGAAAACAGGAGTTCACTGTGGTTAGAAGTCAGGCTGACTGAACATAATAACTAGTTATAATTGACAATGCTTCTTCGAAAGACGGAATTTTTGCTAAGTTTTTATATATTATCAGTAGCTTGAGTTTTCCCCTTTCTCTGACTGTCACTACTAGAGTCACCAGAAGGAAACTTTAAACACTTTTTTAAATAGTGAATCGCTGGCATACTCCTCCTCTTTCCTCTAGTTTCCAACGTCAGGGGAACCCAGCTCAGACAAGAACGAGCCTTGCTGCACGCCCGCCAGCCCTTGCACCCTCCTTTTTATTCTCAGAGGCTCCAGCTCCAACGAAAGTTACAAGGTTAAATGCTACTCTTCGCTCCTGACACAGCTAATCCTGGTTCGGTCTTCAAAAAATAGATGTCTGTAATTCCTTTTTGAACATGCCTTCAAAGTGGAGGTCTTTGGCCATGAGCTCCTCTTCTACATCATCTAGTGCCCACTGGTGATCCGTCAGCTCCAGGGCTTCCCATTCTGTCTGTAAAGGAAGAGAAGAGCAGGGCAGGGAGAGAGGGGCTTGTTACTGACAGCTCTGGCTGACATGGAGGATTCTACCAGAAGCCGGCTGAGCTATTCACATGTGTAAGCTCACTGTGAGGTAGAGCTACTGCCCTCTCCCACCACCTCTATTTAGATTAGAAGACTCAGGCTAAGAAGGGTCACAATTTATTCAGAGTCACTAGTATCAGTAACTGATGCAGCTGAGATTAAATTTAGTGCTTATGACTCAAAAAGTGCATACCCCATTGGCTCATGGTCACTAAGCACCCACTATATGCCCTGCACTATCCTTGAGGAATACACAATAGATTAGTGCTTTGTGATTCTGAGTCCTTGCCATCCAGGAGGGAATATCATTAAGGGGTTTAAGAACATTTCCTCTAACCTTATGTATAAATACATGACATTTCATTATGGTTTGTGGAAATCTAGTAATTTGCTACCAACTTCAACAATGGAAGAAAGAATGATACTATGAATCATAAAACTGTTTTGGAATATAATTATGTTATATTTACTTGCACAGAAGCTATTAATTTTGAGCAAAACAACATTTGTTTGTTATATTCCATTTGTTAGAAAACCTACTTTTGCCTTAGTGAGTTTTAACAAATGATTCATGAATTTTTTAACCCCAGCCCCCTTCATGAAATTTTAATACAATGTTAGCAATACAAATGTTAGTACATGGGTAGGTTTTTTTTTTCTCTTTTTTACCCCCACATTTTCTATTGGTACACTGTAGTTGTAAATAATGGTGTGATTTGTTGTTACATGTTCATACATGCACACAACATTTGGGTGTGGTTTTTTGAGATAAAATTCACATGCTAGAAAATTCACCTTCTTAATGTATCCAAGATGTGGTTTTTAATACATTCACAAATATGTACAAACATTTCCACTAATTTCAGAACACTTTTATCACTACAGAAAGAAACTCCACTCTAAATGCAGGCCAATCCCTATTACTCACTTCCTTCAATCCCTAGCAACAACCACATTATTTCCTGTATCTTCCAGTTCACTTATTCTGGAGATAACATGGCCTGTCCTTATTGTTTCCTTTTACTAAGCATGTTTTCAGGGTTTATTCCTGTTGTACTATGTTTCAGCACCTCATTTGTTTTATAGCTGAAAAAAATATTCCACCATATAGTCAGTGTATATATACTCCAAAAATATCTCATTTTGTTTACCCATTCATCAGTTGATGAGCATATTTGGATTATCTGTTTGCTTTCTAAAGTGGCTGCACTAGCAATGTGGGAGGGTTCCAATTTCTCCACACCCTAACCATTTGTTATTATCCATCTTTTTGACTGCAACCACCTGAGTGGGTGTGAAGCAGAATCTCAGTAATTATTTTTGCAGTATTGGGGATGGAACTCAGACCCTCACACATGCTAGGCAAGGGTTCTACCACTGAGCTATACTCCAGCCCTTTTTTTCTTTTTCAGGGCAACCAAGAGATCTTTATTGCAGTGGCATCTGATTAACAGGGAAGGAAGAGAAAAAGAGAGAGAGAGAGAGAGAGAGAGAGAGAGAGAGAGAGCGCGCGCGCGAGCGCATGAGAGAGAGAGCTATATTCCAGTCCTTTTTATTTTTAGAAAGTATATTTTATCAGTCTAAGGTCACAAAGATTTAAGCCCATGTTTTATTTTTATTTTTTTGTACTGGGGGGTGCTCTACCACTGAATTCTACCACCATCCTCATCCCTTTTTAAAGTTTTAAAAATTTTGAGACAGCATCTTATTAAGTTGCCCAGCTGGCCTTGAACTTAAGTCCTCATGCCTCCTGAGTTGCTGGGATTACGGTGTGCATCATCAAGCCTATGTTTAATGTTTTTTATGACTTTTATTTATTTAAACAAATGTTTTTTGGTTGCAAATGGACACAATACCTTTATTTTATTTATTTCTTATGTGGTGCTGAGGCTCAAACCCAATGCCTCACATGTGCTAGGCAAGTGTTCTACCACTGAGCTACAACTGCAGCCCCCCCATGTTTAATTTTAAAATACCATAGTTGTATCTTTTATATTTAGGTCTTTGACCCATCAAAAATACTTTTTGAACATTTAATATTTTTATTGGAATAAATAATACGTACAACATCAAGCCTGCCACTTTTAGCCATCAATCACATTCATGGTGTTTTATAACCATCTCCAGTATCTATTTCCAAAATCTTTTCATCCTCTGAATAGAAGCTCTGTTCCCAGTAGGCAATAACCCCCACTGTCCCCTCTTCCCAGACTCTGGTAACTGCTAACCCACTTTTTATCTCTATGGATTTTCCTATTCCACATATTTCATGTGAGCAGAACCATACAACATTTGGGTCTCTGACCCATTTTGACTTAATTTTTGTGCATACTGTGAAGCATGCATCTTCATTCTTTTTTATGTAGAAATCATTTTCCTAGCACCATTTGTTCAAAAGACTATTCTTTCCTTCACAGAACTGTCTGGCATTGTGGCTAAAAATCAACAATTATATGTTAGTATCAAATGATCATAAATTTATTAAATCATAGCTATGCATTTATTTCAGAACTCTCAATTCTATTGCATTAATCTACGTGCCTGTCATTCTGCCATTACTTCAGAGTTTTGATTACTGTCTTTGTAGGTTTTTGAATCAGGAAGTATAAGTCCTCTAACTTGTTTTCTTTCAATTTTAGGCAATTTTGGGTGTCTTATATTTTCCTGTGGTCTTCACGATCAGCTGGTTTCTGTAAAAAAGGGAGGTAGATTTTGATAGGGATTGTGCTGAATCTGTAGGTCAATGCAGGGACTATTTCCATCTTAACATGATGCTCAATATTCTTATCTATAAACATAAATGTCTATTCATTCTAATTAAGATCTTTAATTTCTTTTGGCAATGTTTCTGGAATTTTCAGGTATAAATTTTACATTTCTTTTGTTGGACTTATTCCTCTTTTTGAAATTATTATACATAAGTGGAATTTTTTTTTTCTTAATTTCATTTTCAGATTCTTTGTTACCAATGTGTTGAAGTCCAGTTAATTTTTTTCTTTTTTCATTTAGAGACAGAGTCTAACTAAATTGCCCAGGCTGGTCTCAACCTCATGATCTTGCTACCTTATTACAATGCACCTGATTACATCTATTTTGCATATATTGATTTTTTTTTTATGCATTAATTTTTTTTTTAATATAGTTGTAGTGCTGAGGATTGAACCCAGTGCTTCACAAATGCTGGGCAAGTGCTCTGCCACTGAGCTACAGCCCCAGCCCTGTATATTGATCTTGTATCCTAAAACTGCCAAACTCGTTTTTCAGCTCTGATGGTTTTTTGTGTGTGTGTGTGTGTGTGTGTGTGTATTTCATCTGTAAAGAGAGGTAGTGTTACTGCCTGATTTATTTCTCCCATGCCCAGCTGTCCTGGCTAGAACATCCACTACAATGTTGAATAAAAGTGGTAACAGAAGTGGCAGATATCCTTGTCTTGTTCTTGATCTTGGGAGAAAAGCTTCCAATCTTTCACCATTAAGTACGATAGTAGCTGAGGGTTTTTTTGTTTTTTTTTAATAGATGACCTTCATCAGGGTAAAAGTTTCCTTTTATTTTTAGTTTTTTTTTTTTTTTTTTTTTCAGTGCTAGGGACTGAAAGTAGGGTATTTTTAGTTTTTATCATGGAAAATTAGTGAGGTTATATAGGATTTTACAAATTCCAGAATCCTTTAATGAAAAGGCTTTAAAGTACTGACACTTTATGGATGCAGTGAATGAATGACTTATGATGCTGGGGATGGAAACCAGGGCCATCTGAATGCTAAACATGTTCTACCACCGAGCTACATCCTTTGTCCCTATATATTTATTTATTTTTAATGCAATTTACACCTGATGTCTGCCAGGTTCAAGAAAGTTTAAAGTGTCCCATATGTTACCTGGGGCCTTTGAAAGGATTGTTTTATAGCCTCATTTACAGTGTGGATTAAATTTGGGTGATCATTTAATACCAGTGAAAGTGCCAAGAATCTCCAATTTACTTAACAGACGATTCTGTCTCAGGAACGAAACACACATAAACTTTATTTTTCCTACTCTAAATTCAAACAATGAAACCACACTACATTCACTGCAGAGCTTTTCTTGTTGTTTGATATGGTGGGAGAGTGGGTCTCACTATGTTGCCCAGGCTGGCCTTGATTTCTTGGGCTCAAGCAATCCTCCTGCCTCAGCCTTCTGAGTACTGGGACTATAATGGGACACTGTGCTTGGACTGAGAATTCATTTTTATTTTTTGTTTAATTTTTTTTCTTCTTTTCTCCTTTTGGTTTTTGAGAATTTATTTTTAAAGTATAATAATCCCCCCTTATCCCCAGATGATCTATGTTCCAAGTCCACCAGTGAGTGGATTTCCATGACTGCAAAGCAGTACTAAATCTACATATACTATTCTCCCTATACATACATAACCTCTGATTAAGTTTAATTTACAAATTAGGCACAGCAAAAGATTTAACCTGAATACCTAGTAACAAAAATAGACCAATCACAAGAATATGCTGTAATAGAAGATGTGAATATGATCTCTCATCTTCCATGAGGTGGGTTGTGTGTGATGTGGATGCACTGGACAAAGGGATGACTTGTGTCCTGGGTAGGACGGAAGAGGACAGAGCAAGATTTCATGACACTACTCAGAACAGCGCAGTTTGAAGACTGTGACCTGTTTATTTTTGGAATTTTCCACTGAATATTTTTGGATGCAGTTGACCGTGGTAACTGAAACTGTAAAAAAGTGAAACTGAGTAAGAGAGCACTACTGGTTCTGGGAACCATTCAGAGCCTCAATAAAGCTCTGGAAGACAATGAAGCGTACCTTGAAAGCTTTGTTGGTGTCTGCAGGCATGGCCATGGCTGCTCCGGTCATCTGCTCCTGCATCATTCGTGATTGGTCAGCGGCTGCAGTGTAAGACATGCCAATGTGAGTGCTGAGGCTCAGCAGGCACCCCTGCACCCTTGTAGAGGAATGAGCACTGCACCGCATTTAAGCTGTCTAGCAGTGGGTTCGAGAACTAGACAATTGGCCCTGTCACCCACTGGCTGTGTGATGTCAAGCAAGTCATTTTATCTCTCCTGAAAAATGGGGATGACAAGAGCTGGAAAACAGAAGGGAACTAAAGGAAGCTCCAAAGTTTATTTCAGACTTCAATAACAACAGCTACCAGATAATGAGAAACTACTATATGCCAGATTCTTTGCCAACTGCTTTGTGCATTCTTCCTTATCTACTCCTAATCACCCTATAGTTAACTTCCAAGATCCCTATTTACAAGACAGCAAAAAAGACAGGATCAGAGGAGTTAAATAACTTGTCAGACGTCCCCACCATTATATGAGAACCAGGATTAGTACCGGCAAGGTCTCTAGTCAGTGAGCTAACTGAACCATTCAGGCCTTCTTTAGTCTTCAAATTAATGGTCTTCATCACTGGTGCTGGATTCCCCAGGGGTGTCAGACTTGGGGAAACCAAATGATGTCCTAGTGATTGCCAGAGAAAATCAGATCTTCAGTTTGGACCCAGAAATTTTGAATATGCTTTCAGAATGTTGAAGAAACTTAAAGAATGAAGCACCATATTTGAATGTGCTAATGAACAGTATAACCTATATCTTTCTTGCTCTAGCATGGATGAGTCATCTATTGAAGTTTTTGCTTATTGAACCTGATGTGCTTCTTACCATTATCTTGGCCCAGAATCAGAGAGTATATGCTCCGAAGCCCAAATACATTGAGAAAGTACCAGGATGCAGAACTCACCCTAGCAAAGCAAAGGTATTAATGAAGTTTAATTAATTTCAGGTATTAATGAAGTTTACACCTTTGTATCAGGCAAAGTTGTTCAGCATATGTAAGGAAATCACCCGGGATAGGCTATATGCAGCCAAAGCACAACCAGAGAAGAAATATAGGTATTAAGACAGTCTGACCAATATAGAAGTATATTAAATAAAAAGTGAAAGAGTCCTCCTGTTTGGTATTCCATTCTTTAGAAAAAAAATCACAAGTGTTGGTGTGTTCATGTGTTCCACACTTAGGAAGGATTAGAGGTGGCTTTCAAAGCTGAGGATGGCAGCAACTGGGAAAGCATTCCAAGTTTGAATTTTATCACCAAGGCTTCCTTTATCTTAAGTTTCCCACCTTGCCACTGAAAAATAATTTGCATATGATAAAACTAAAGGGAATATTAAAAATGATACATAAATGGAAAAGTTCTGTACTTCATTCCAATACTTGGGTCACAGGAGTCTATTCTGGTCACTCCATCAGGTTGCAGGTAAGTAAATGATCTCTCTGTGTACAATATTGCTGATCTATCTGCAATGGTAATTCTTCACTCAGGCTATAGTTTCCCCTCTGTCCTTGACATTATCAGACACATACCTGCTCAGAAGCTTAGAAAAGATAAATAAGCTTTTCTTTAACCTATGGAGCTATTGCTTAGCCCAAATGAGAGTGGACGATCAGAGTTTAGTAGAATCATGCTGCTCATATGAAGTACAGCTTTTCTTCTATACTAGAGCTGTGCAGACCCAAGACTCAATCAGCATCTGGTCTGCCCCACCCCTCCCACATAACCAGAGATGCCTCTGCTCAAACCCAGTGAATCCAATCACTGCTGGTGACCCCCATGGTCCATCCTCCTCTTCTTAACTGGTTCTTGCAGAAGCCCATGGTGTTAATGGAAAGTGATGGAACCTTTTGGGGCTTAGTGGGAAGTCTTAAGTCATTGGGAGTGTGTCCTCAAACAGGACTGGGGGTGTTCTTCCTCTTTTCTCTTTCAGAACCTGATCACAAGGTGAGTGTTTTGCTCCATGATTTGCCTTACTACACGACCAAAGCAATGGGGCCAATTGTTCATGGACAAAAACCTCCAAAACTATGAGCCAAAATAAATCTTTCTTCATAATAAGCTGATTATTTTGGGTATTTGTTATGGTAACAGAAAACTAATACAAACATCCACTCATAAGCTCCAGGGCACTTCTAAAAGATTGGCCTAACCAGAGTTCTTTGCTTAACCTTTCAATTTTTAAGGGGGTAAACACATCCACCCTTGTATTCCTAAGCCCTATGAAAAGAGACTGACATGTTCTCCTCTTTTGCAAGGCTTATGTAAAAATGGCTATAACCCAGCAGGGACATTTTGAGTGGCGTTTAATGGGACAAAATGCAAAATTAAAAAAAAAACAAAAAACCTATTCCCAGTGAAATATGCAAATTTGATCTTTAAGAGACACTGGTTTTAGATTTTTGGTTCGTGTTTTTATTAGATAAAAGAAAGTTCTTACCAGGATGCATCTAATGTGAGTAGCTCGATTCCTTGCTGTAGCATAGGCTTAAAACGAAGGGTCAGTGGAAATGGCACCTTGGCTGCAGAGAAGAAAGAGAAAGTTCACAACCACTCCAAGCTGTTTTTATTTTTAGAGCAGTCGAAGTGTGAATGCACAGCACATATTCTTTCCCTAAGGAGGTGAGAACTCTGAGCCACACAGCTTTTGGAAAATGATTTCCACAAGGAAATCAGTGGCAATTTCAGAAGGAAAAAAATAGTCAAGATGTTGCTGTGCTCTAGTTTTCTTGAATAATACCACTTTCTAGGTGGCTGAAGAAGCAAGAACTCAAACTGAGCTGTGACCTAAAATTCAGAAGAAATTTATATTGATCCATTAAACCCTGAGTGGAACAGGTACACACAAAGACCTACATCACTAAGAAGCCACACTGATTAAAACCAAATCAAATAAAACAGAAAACTTACCCCAACACTTAGTAAATGAAGTGAAAAATAGAAGTAGGCTTCTCTCTATCCTATTAACTAGAATACCTATCAGTTGTGGAGGTCAACTAGCAGGTCACTCATTTGAATCTCTATTAGTAAAAAAGCAACCACATATGAACTTAGGATTGGTTTGGAACAGGGTTGCCATAACATCACAGCAGATTAATTTTTTGTTGTTTTTCAAAGAATGTTCTTGGTTTCCATAAGAAAACATAAGGTCTGTGATGTTAGGGTCTCAGTAACACTTGAATTTCTCTGTACAAGGACAGGAAAAAGAACACAAATGATGTAAACATGAAGTCTGCAGGGTCTGTAACTTACTTGTAACAAAGCCTGAAAATGTCATGTTGATCCATCCACCAATAAGAATCATAGGGAGGACGTTGGTGACATTTCCTTTCATCATGTCTGTGAGCATAGTGGGATCTAAAATAAAAGCACAAGAGACCACTAGGTTTACTTCTGTTGGCAGACCATCTCATTTTCTGTAATTTTTTTTTTTTTTTTTTTTTGGTGGTGCTGGGGATTGAACCCAGGGCCTTATGCATGCAAGGCAAGCACTCTACCAACTGAGCTATTTCCCCAGCCCTCTTGTATATTATTATTATTATTTTTTTGGTGCACAGGGCCTTGTGCATACAAGGCAAGCACTCTACCAACTGAGCTGTATCCCCAGCTCTCTTGTAAATTAAATTTTTAATATATTTAATGATTTGAGTAAGACGTGTTCATTGCTAAAAAATGCAAATAACAGAAATGTACGATAAGGATGGTTCCTCTCAGTCCACTCTCTAAACACTTTCAACTATTCGTAGCATATCTTTCATCTTTCAATTCACACACACATACTATAGATATATATATATTTTTATATACATATATATGTATATATATTATATTACATATATTCTGCTTCTTTTAATTTTTAAAAATTTGTTCTAATTAGTTGTACATGACAATGAAATGCATTTTAACACATTGTACACAAATGGAGCACAATTTCTCATTCCTTCTCATTCCACCATACTATTCTGCTTCTTAATCACCCCCCCCACTTTTTTTTTTTTTTTAATTTGGCACTGGGGATTGAACTCAGAGGTGCTCTACCACTAAGCTACATCCCTACCCCTTTTCATTTTTTATCTTTGAAACAGGGTCTTACTAAGTTGCTCAGGGTGGCCTTGAACTTGCAATCCTGCCTCAGTCTCCCAAGTTGCTAGAATTACAGGCATCTGCCACCATGCCTGACTTGTGTTTCTTCGTCTTTTAAAATGAATAATTTTGTGAAAGGTATTTCTCATGGGGATAATATCTATCCCTCAATATTTTCAGTGTTTAGGCAGATTCTACTACATGGTTGCACCATTTATTTTTTGATAGACCTAGAGGTTGTTTCCAATTTTCTTTGAGACTAAACAATGCTGCCAACACCATCTTGTACATAAATTGCACGTTTATGTAAGTATTTCTTTTTTTTTTTTTTGGTGGGGGGGAGTATCGGTGATTGCACTCAGGGGCACTTGGCCACTGAGCCACATCCTCAGCCCTATTTTGTATTTTATTTAGAGACAGGGTCTCACTGAGTTGCTTAGTGCCTCGCAGTTGCTAAGGCTGGCTTTGAACTCGTGATTCTCCTGTCTTAGCTTCCTGAACTGCTGGGATTATAGGCATGAGCCACCACCGCAGGCTATGTAAGCATTTCTGTAAGATAAATTCTTTAAAAAATTTCTGGATCAAGGGACTCATATATTTAAAATTGACAGATGTTAGGACTTTGTGGCAGGGTGTGGTGGTGTATATTTGTAATCCCAAAGACTTGGTAGGCTGAGGCAGGAGGATAACAGGTTTGAGGGCAGCCTGGGCACCTTAGTAAGATCCTGTCTCAAAAAATAAAAAGGGCTGGGATGTAGGCCAGTGGTAGAGCACCCCCTGGGTTCAATTTTTAGTACAAAATAATAAAAAAGATTAGGGGCTTGGAGTATAGCTCAGTGGTAGAGTGCTTGTGTAGCATGTGCAAGACCCTAGGTTCAATGTGCAGCAATGCCACTCCCCAAAAAACAAAACAAAAACAACAAAAACAAAAAGACATAAACTGTCAGGCCCCACCATTTGATACTCTCACCAGTGATGAGCGGGCCTAATTTCCCTCGACCTTGACCATAGTGACTTTGGTCAATCTTTTAATCTTTGTCAATTTAATGGGTTATAAAAAGGATATCTTGTTTTGTTTTGTTTGCAGTGCTTGGGCTGAACCCAGGGCCCCACTCATGCTAGGCAAGCACTCGACCATTGAGCCATACTCTGAACCCTTTTTATTTTTTTAAATTTCAAGACAGAGTCTCCCTATATTATCCAGGCTGACCTTGTGATCAGGCTGCCTCAGCCTTCCAAGTAGCTAGGATTATAGGTGTGCACCACTGTGCCTGGTAACATATTATTTTTATTTGTCTTCTGTGGATTATTAGAGAAATCAAATATATTTTCATATATACTTTTGAGACTTGGAAGTTTTTTCCTAAATTGTGTTAATTCTAATACCTTATTCATGGGTTAAAAGAACTAGTTATCTCATCTAAAGAAATGAATACTGAAGTGAGAAAACAGTCAACAAAGAAAAATAAATTATTTTGTTTTACTTTACGGTATATTTTTCATAAGGCAGAAGTTAGTGGAAGTCATATATCTGTTGGAGCAGACATTGTAGGATGGACTAAGCAATCAGGTCTGACCAAGAACTGGTTGCTACTGGGAGGGAGGCAGCTCCTCCTCATTTAGGCAGAAGCTGGGTAGCCATCTGTCAGCAATAGGATCTAGGCAGTGGGTGGGAGCTGGGACTGGAAAGCATCCTCAGTTGTGCTCCACAGAGCCATGGGTCTTGAGGACTAGCAACGAGGAGAGACCCAGGGACAACAGTGTTGGTTTCCCCACTCTATCAGCTTTTTAAAATTTGCTTTATAAACTGGGTTCCCAGGAGATTTATTTGAAAAAGAGAACTCTACTATATTAGATGATTTCTAAGGTCACTTACATTATTAATTCCTATAATTTATTTAAATAAAACTATATCTGCCCTGCCTTCCCTCCTTCCCCTCTCACTCAGTACCCCATGTAAACTTTTTTTTTTAAAAGCAAGAGAAAAGGAATGAACATACCGGTCATAGGAGAAGGTGGCACTACCTTTCTTTTAGTTTTTTTGAAAAATCCATCCTCTGGGTTGTTGAAGTAATATTTTCGTGTCAAGAAAGACTAGTAGGAAAGAAAAAGCTTTTTAAATCCAAGAACTGTGATATGGCAAGTTGTCAAGTGACTCCCCAGAGATTTGGTCAGAAGGGCCTTGGAATATGCTGTTGCCCTCAGAGCTGGCATCCTACTTGGCAGGCGACCTGACACTTTAGCTGAGTCACATTTAAAAACAATTTCCTAAGAGTGAGGTCACAGTGACAGCAAACACCACTGGGCCACAGCTTAATTACTGAGTGGCCAATCTCCAGTTCTCCCCAAAGAGTCCCCTTATAAAACATTCAGATTATCTACTGCTCTCCACAGTCAATGGTGGAGCTTTTTAATAAAAGATAAGTAAGTACCTGTTTGGGAATGTATTTTCCATTTTCCCTGAGGACTCTGCTTCGAATTAAGACTTGGCTGAAAAACATGACCAAGACAATGAGATTTTTTAAAAGTGAAACACTAGAAGAAAATGAGAGTATAAAGTAGAAGATCTGTCTAAACACGAGAGGACCTATTTGGCAACAGGTGCATGTGGAACATTCAAGTATCCTAAAAACCAGCATGACATAGTTAACCTTACATTCAGGTTTTCAAAAGAGCAGTCTTCACAAGTGACTGTGGTTCTGTACACAGATTTCTAAGTGAGGCATATTTGGGATATCACACTCAGTTTTTTTTTTTTTTAATTTATAATGAGCCAAGAAGGAACTTTCTCTGAGGGAAAAGTGTAGCAGTTGGATGATGTTCAGAAGACGTGGGGGCTGGAGGAGGGGAAAGGCATAGGATAAAAGAAGGGAAGAAATTCTTAATATGCATGGAGCAATAAGGACAGGTAGCCAGGTCCAGTGGTGCACACTTGTAATCCCAGCTATCTGGGATGCAATTTTGAGGTCATTTTGGGCAACTTAGCAAGACCCTGTCTCAAAATTTTAAAAAGTGAAAAGATCAGGTGGTGTAGCTCAGTGGTAGAGCACTTGCTTAGCCTGCACAAGGCACTGGGTTTAATCCCTAGCACTGGCAGTGGGAGTAGGGTGGGGGAGGGTGGTTGCATATTGTTGTGGGGGACACAGACAAGAAGAAATGAGAAGTCTCAAGAAGATTATTATCTGATTGACAACAAATAGAAATGCCACTCAGAATTCCAAGTATAAGTTCTCAATAAACAATGAATAAATGAAATTATTTGGTGTTATCAGGGCACAGTTGATCACTAAAGATAATAGTCCATGTAACTAAGATATAAATAGTAAACAGAGAAAAGAACACTGTGCTTAACTTTCCCTTCTTTACTTCTGTGTACAAACCACCTGCTGTGAGCAGTCAGTGCCCCTAAACACATCTCAGCTTCACTGTATGATGTGTGAAGTGCTTGATGGCCCCTCTCCTTTGCTGGTGCTACCTCATCAAGCCTAAATACTTTCCTCAAGCCCCGTCTTTCCCACAGTCTCTTCCTGATGCTGGAACTCTTGTGGAACTTTCCCTGGTTTCCCTCCTTTTGGCCTTGTTATATTATACAGTTGACTAAACACAAGCTACAGAAGTGACCTGTAATACATTCTGTTCCTTGGGAGCTAAAGTTACTCAGAGTGTGGCCTATGTATCAATGCTGGTCTGTGACAAGGTGAATACAGACATATATTCACATAGAGGGTAAGGGTTTAGAGACATAATAATTTGATATTACCAAATATCCAAGCATGTGATCAAAATATTTTAGCCAGCTGGACTAGAAATTAAAAAACAGCTGTATGGGATATGGCTCAGTGGTAAAATGCCCCTGGCAGTATCTATCAATCCCTAGTATCTATCAGTTAACCAACTAATTAAAAAGAAATAAAATTTAAAAATAAAAAAGCCCCCAAACTGGCCCTTTACCACCAACAGTTTAAGAAGCACTGGATATAGAAAAATGAATGAAAATTTAAGCTCTAGAGTTGGGTTCAAATCCTGTTTTTGCCATTTATTAGCTGAATATCTTGGCCAACTCATTTCAATTCTTTAATCCACCATTCACATTCTGTAGAGTAACAAATTTATGCTTTAAATGAAAATATATTTCTTAAATTTCTAATTGTCAGGTACTGTGTACATGAACAGCAGCGATCAAAACGCAAATATCTCATGATGGTAATTCTAGTGGGAAATGCCAGGTGTGGTGGTGCACACCTGTAATTCCAGAGGCTCTGGAGGCTGAGGCAGGAGTCTTAAATGAGGTCAGCCTCAGCAACTTGTGAGACCCTGTCTCAAAAATAAAAAGGGGTGGAGATGTAACTCTCTAAAAGAGCACCCCTGGGTTCAAACCCTAGTACTGCCCCAAACAAACAAATAAAACCAAAAAAGTCTGGTGGGAGAGAAAGAAATGAATCAAATAACCATATGAGCCAATGTGAAATTTGACTGTTATATTCTAGGAAGAGAGATGGATGGGGAATTCCCCCATTCTGGAAAGTTAAGGTCTGAAAGAAAACCTTGCTGAGAATATAGGATTAGGTTGGAATCTTATATGGGAAAATGCTGGAGGGAATGTTATGGACATAGGCCCTGTTGCAGGAATAAATACTATGTCTCTGAGGACCTGAGAAAAGGCCATATGGAGAGAAAAGAGGACTATGTGGTGAAGAGGAGGCTAGAGAGGTGGGCAAGAGCTGGACTACACAAGGCCATGTGGATCCTACTTATTAAATCATGAAGAGCAAAAGAGAAACAGAGGAGGGTTTTAAGCTGAGTCCTTTGTGTGTATTATCTTATTTAAAGCTGAGATCCATCACTATATTTTTTCAAAGTCTATAAATCCTGTAACAAGTTTTTAATTTTGTGTTTTTATTCTGATGAGTACCTAAAATAAGTCATTTACTGGTTGTAAAGATAAAGCTTTGGTAATCTGCAACTGAAAGATCTTTTCTTAGAATAGAACTTTAGTTTTTTTTTAATATTTATTTTTTTAGTTGTAGTTGGATACAATACCTTTATTTGTTTTTATGTGGTGCTGAGGATTGAATCTAGGGCCTTGCGCTTGCTAGGCGAGTGTGCTACCACTGAGCTACAACGCCAGCCCAAAACTTTAGTTTTTAAAGTCAATTCAAACTAAAGTTTCCTATTCTTGTTTTTTTGTTTTGAGGGGATTGAACCCAGGGGTGCTTAACCACTGATTCACATCCCCAGCCCTTTTAATATTTTTAAATTTTGAGACAGGGTCTTGCTAAGTTGCTTAGGGCCTGGCTAAGTTGCTGGTTCAACTCTACTTCCTCTCAAGTGTTTTATAATTAATATTAAAATTAGGTTTGAGAATCTAATTCCATTTTCTTTATGAGGGGGGGCACAGTTTTTATGTTTATAAAATTTCTAAGCACCAAATAAACATATGAGAAATTGTACTTTATGAAGAATAATATACCACCTAAGAAACTAATGTAGTACTACCTTCTGTGATATTCATCTATATTAGCCATCTATTAACTGGTCCCAGTTAAAGTGATTTTTTAGTGAGGTGCATATATATATATGACTTCTGCATTATGCCTTATACAACAGTTGTGCCCAAGCTCCTATGAAATATAAATTACCACAAATTACTTTTCTTTTATTTCTCCTGATTATTACAACTAGATCATAATGTTGCTTTTAAACAAATAATTCCCCTGTGGGCTGAAGAATTAGTTCAGTGGTAGAGTGCTTGTCTAGCATGAGCAAGGGCCTGAATTCAATCCCCAGCAAAAGAAGAATGAAACCAAAACCAACCAATCAACCAAACAAACAAACCCAAACAAATTCATATTTAGATTGTACCAACTGTGAATTTCATTTTGGAGATGGAAAAAAAAACAGCTGTGGGTCTGATACCATTCAGAACCACAGCTCTAAAATGACATAGTAAAAACCAGGATAGGAAATTGTGTCGGAATATCTATCGTAGCAGGAATGGTGGTTAAGAATCATCATAGTATCTGGTAAAAAAAAAAAAAAAAAGAATCATGACAGCAGGATCAGTGAACCAATCTAGGTTCAAGAACATGCACAATATTTTACAACTTTGGTTACTCTGGGAATGCTACTTAATTTCTCCAGGCTTCCTTTTCTTCAACTATTAAAATGGGTTTAGGATTACCTAACTCGAACTATTGTAAGGATAAAATGAGAATAATTTCTAGGTATCATTGAATGCTAATTATTTGAGCTCTCTCCACCCTGCATTTTTCTATAGGATTTCTTTTTGTGGTAAACTGACTTTTTCCCTCTCCTAATATTGGGATATTGGGGATTGAACTCAGGAGCATTCTACTGCTGAACAAAATCCTTAAAATTAAAAAAAAAATTTTTTTTAAAGTTATAGATGGATACAATAACTTTATTTTATTTATTTTTATGTGGTGCTGAGGATTGAATCCAGTGCCTCACATGTGCTAGGTGAGTGTTCTACCACTGAGCCACAATGCCAGCCCCGTAAAAAAAACTTTTTTTTTTTTTTTAAATTTTGAGACAGTTTCAATAAGTTGTGCAGGCTGTGCTTGAACTTGTAATCCTCCTGCATCTGTCTTCAGAGTGGCTGGGATTAAAGGTATTAGCTACCACATCTGGTTGTAAACTGACTTCTAAAGATCAGTTCTAGCAGGATGGCTCAGGTCAGTTCTGAAATTGATGTCTCAAAAAAATAATCCAAGTGGCTAATTTGTAGTAAAATGGAAAGAGCCTTAGGCTTGGCAACCAGAAGACCTGGCTTAAAGTCCTGAATATTATCATATGTGACCATGGAACCCCCTTAAGCTTCAGTTTCTATAAAATGGGAAAACAGCACCTACCTCATAGTTGCTCTGCGTTTTAAATAAGTACTTTAGCATAGTGCATGGTACAGAATAAGTATTTAATAAATGTTCGCTTATTATTATTGTCAGCATAATTGGTAAGGACAACTGAAAATGATAAAGAAGTTTCCCATACTTCAGTAGCACTTATACTATATGTACTTAATATTTTTAGACATCAACTTTTCTTCTGCCTGTATTAGTTTTTTAAAAAATATTTTAAGTTGTAGATGGACAAAATACTTTTATCTACTTATTTATTTATTAAAATTTTTTTAGTTATAGGTAGACACAATTTCTTTATTTTACTTTATGTGGTACTGAGGATCCAACCCAGTGCCTCACACATACCAGGCAAGTGCTCTACCACTGAGCCACAACCCAGCTCCTACAAAATTTCAGCAAATGGAAATCCAGTATGACTTGCCACAAAACAAAGCAATTTTAAAAATAAATACAATAAAATCAAAACAACATTAAATTTTCCCTAGATACTGTCATCTGTGGAAAACTCTTTAAATTTTTTTTTCTAGTTGTTGATAGACCTTTACTTTATTTATTTATGTGTGGTGCTGAGAATGGAACCCAGTGCTTCAGGCATGTCAGGCAAGTGCACTACTACTGAGCCATAGCCCCAGCCCATCTGTGGAAACTTCTGAACCTGATGCTTTCTCTTTTTGTTAAAAAGAGATTCCTAAGTAATCAGGAGGGGTTAAAGATAGAGTACCACTTGATTAAGATGGTCTCTGAAAATAATCATAACAATTGGCTGAAAATTGTTATTTATTTTAATAGAAGGGCACGTGTCTGGATACCATCTAGAGCCATCTCAAATTTGTTTCTGCAAATACTAAATGAAAGCGTGTGAGGAGGAAGTTGCCTTCACTATAGGAGGGAAAATGATCTTTAAAAATCCACACATCTCTAATGGCACTTTTACAGTTTGCAAAGCATTTTGTTTCTTAGCATCTCTGCTGATCATTACAGTAATTCAGTAAAATGCGATTATCTAATATTATCAAAGAATAAAAAGACCTGGCACTCAGTGGGCACTTTTCCTAAGGAAAGGATGGGATCGGACAGTTCACAGATAACCCCACTGAGAGTTGGCTACTAGCCTAACAATGTTAACAACGTTTTTTTTTTTTTTAAGCACTAATACGTCCCAGGCCCTATGATCAGGCTTTAAAGATGTCACCTAATTTAATCCCCACGTCTGTTCTATGAGGTAGGCACTGTTATAGTTCTCATTTTAGAGACGACAAAAGTGAAATACAGGTAACGGCCAAGGTCACCTGCCAGCAGGGGCGCGACGAGAACTCAGGTAAACTGACAGAACTCCTGCACTTTCTTGCCCAAGGTCACGAGGAGTGAAGGCGGCCGGTTAGGGTAGGGTGCTGACCTGTCGGAGACTTGTTCCTGGGTCAGTTTCTTGTCGCTCTGCAACAGGATGGACACATAGTGGCGGATCATGCCCACGAAGAAAGTGATGATAACGATGGGTAAGACCACCCAGAGGCGTATGTTGGAGTCGAGCAATAGCTCTGGCCCCGCCATCTTCTCTGAAGGCCGACTGCCAGCCGCGGGGAGTCGAGTTCCTCTTGGATTTCGCCTCCGGGCCTTCTAACGTTCCTCAACCTGGCTAGCCCGGGACTCCGCGACTGTCTCGATCCGCCGCTTACGGTTTCCAGCTGGGCCGCCGGGCGCCGACTTCCGGCGCGGAAGTTTGACGTCACTCAGCGGCGCGCCTCGGTAGCGTCAGAGCGACGTCGCGCCGGGCGGGAAAGTCGAAAGTGAGGGGCGGTGACGACTTCTGCGTGTTGAGTGGATCTGCAGTTGGCGTCGCTCGAGGCTTCGCGCCACTGGGGCCTAGTCCCTAGGTCCAGGCCGAGCCCGGCCTTTCCCTCTGGGGCTCTGCGCCCGGAACCTGGCTTCCTCATCCGCCCTATTGTGGGGTAATTCCCTCAGGTACCTCCAGCGTCGTTACAGGGACGAAATGAGAAGGGACGCTATCGCTCCCATCCTCAACCTGAATGGTCTGGTTTTGGTGACTGGCCCTCTTCCTTTAGACTTTTCTGGAAACGAGGTGGTGTCGCACGTGTTGAGGGTGTGTGCTCTAAAGTCGCAAGATCCTTAGTTGTCTTAGTTTTTCTATCTGCAAAATGGCCGACAATGGTTTTACAGTATTAAATGAGGTAATGGATAATATAGAAGGATTAACACATCGTAAGTGTTAATCCTTGTTGGAAGCCATTGTTAAGTACTGGTGGTAGTTAATGTAGATTCCCGAGTCGGTCTGCTGGAGTTAGAATCCTGGACTATGGAAATAATAATTGTATTATTATTATTTTTATATTACTATTATAATTTATAATATAATGTAATACAAATTTATATTATTATTATTATAATTCCTCACACAGATTTTTGTGAGGAATAAATGAATTATTAAATACAAACCACTTTAAGAAAAAAAAGCCCGGTAGGGCACCTAAAATACTGATAATTTATAACTGATTTAAGCGGGTCGGCAGGCTGAGAAAGGAGGCACCGCACGTTCAAAGCCAGCCTTGGTAATTTAGTGAGGCCGAAAGAAACTTAGCGAGATCTTGTCTCAAAAAAATAAATAAATAAAGGCTGGGGATGTGGCTCAATCCCCTGGATTCAATCTCTGGTACAAAACAAAACAAGAAAAAAAAGACTTTCTGGGGCTGGGAGCATAGGTCAGTGGCAGAGCTCTTGCATAGTGCATGAAGTCCTTGGGTTCCATCCTTAGCCCTCAGGCGTAGGGAGGACTTTCTCCGGAAAATTGTCCCTGCTTTTCTTCTCCACCTAGACTAAATTTCATTGTAAGCCTTCACTCAGAGTAACCTGTACTTTCCTTTTATAGGATTTACCCAACTGAAGTTAAATGTATTAAGACTATTTGCCTTTATACTGTAAACTCCCTCTGGGCAGCAGCGTTCATGTCCATCTTGTTCACAGTTGTAACCCCAGCACCTAGCACAGTCCTTATATTGTATTGAATTAATGAGTTAAAAGACAGGTGTCTTGAATCTCAGAGGAAGAGCTGTGAATTTTCTCCTTTTAGGAAGTGTTCTATTGAAAGAGGAAACTAGGAAAACAAGTCTTGAAGAATTGCCCAAATATGGGAGTTGAAATGTGTTGAGCACATGGTGATAGAATTAGTATGAAGACTAAAATTCTTTTGGTTTTGGAAAGAACATTTATTTTTTTAAACTGTAATTTTGACTTATCAGAATTTTGCTTCTAGAGGATAACTTTTTTCCTGTCGTTTTACTCTTGTAAGTTGACTCTTGTAAATTATTTACTCTTGTAATTTAAGTGTGGAGAACTTCACTCAAAATGATTTCCAAAAGAACACTTTCAAAATCTGAGGATAAAGAGACCCTGATGGAAGATGCCTCCAGTAAGTATTTGCCATTTATTGCTTTATTTCCTATAGGAAATGTATGAGACATTTAGTGATATGTAAAGTTTTTACTTTTCAAGTCCTAGGCATCATCAAGGCCTAATAGATACAGCACAAAGAATCTACTGTCAGGAGATCTGGGATAGAGTTCTATCTCTGTTTCCACATATAACTTCAGGCATACCCCTCTAAGCATCAGTAGCTACATTCATTAGAGGATTTTGTCTTATCTGTGGACTTCTGTACATTATCTCTGTGTTGGGACACAAAGAAAAGACAGTTCCCATCTTTTTAAAAAGCTTGGTCTTTTCTACCTTAAAAAAGTTAAGGTAGCTATGGTAGTGATATATAAAGGAAAGGTATGTGAAAGCAGAGGCAAAGAAACTGTATAGAGCTTTGCCCAAATGAGAATGTGACTGACAAAGACCCTAGGAGTTTGGAAAAGAAGAAACTGAAAGTTCTTTTCATTTATTAAACTCATTTAAGGGCTGGAGTTGTGGCTTGGGCTGGGGTTGTGGCTCAGTGGTAGAGCACTCGCCTTGCACGTGCAGGACCCTGGGTTCGATCCTCAGCACCACATAAAAATAAGTAAGTGAAATAAAGGTATTGTGTCCAACTACAACTAAAAATAAATATAAAAAGAATCATTTAAGGTTGTTCTAACTGATTGAAGTGTTCTTTCTTATTAGCGTATAGGAATTTAGGTCTGACTCATGGTCAAATACAACTGATGTTGATGAAAATGTTATTGACAATATTTAGAATTAAGAAATAAAATTTTAAGGCTAAAACTCTGTTAGTAAAGGCTTGATTTAGGCTCTATCTGTTGGTGAAGGGATTGTAGAATACAGACAAATTGATAAAAAAATTGAAACTGAAGAAAAATAATATAAGAAGTTACTAAATGAAGATTTTGTACTTTCAAAATACTGTTCTCCAAAAGGGAAGAGACTTCTGAGTTAAATTTATGAGAAGGGACTTTGTTTTCTTTGGTGTGATGAGCAAACTCAATCTTTTCTGGTTATGTCTAAATTTCTTTTTTTCTTTTGGGTTCAGGGATTGAACTCAGTGGCATTCAACCACTGAGCCACATCCCCAGCTCTATTTTGTATTTTAGTTCGAGACAGGGTTTCACTGAGTTGCTTAGCATCTTGCTTTTTGCTGATGCTGGCTGTGAACTCGTGATCCTGTCTTAGCCTCCTAAGCTGCTGGGATTACAGGTGTGCACCACTGTGCCAAGCCTAAATTTCTTTAAGGAAGGTAGTGAGTGGTCTTTGTTTCATTCTGTTTAAGGCTTTGTTGTTGGGTTTTTTTTTTTTTTCCTTTGTTAGGAGGGATTAAACTCAGGGCCTATCCCCAGACCTTTTTCTTTTATTTTGAGACAGGGTCTTGCTAAATTGCTTAGGGCCTTGCTAATTTGCCAAAACTGGCTTCAAACTTTGGATTCTCCTGCCTTAGCCTCCCCACCCCCATAGCTGGAATTACAGGTGTGCACCACTGTGCCTAGCTTGTTACTTTTTATTGGTTGAAAACCTTGGGATGAAACCAATCTGTGCTTTGTATTAAAGATGTGATGTAGGAGAACCTGTTCCATTCTGTTATTTATTTATTTATTTTTGCATTACAATTCTTAATACACCATTATACAATAATTTATCATGTCTCTGATTATTTATAAGGTGTGTTGATACCAAATTCACATCTGTATTTTGTACCTTTTACCATCCATGCTAATCCCCTCCATTCTGTTTTTGTATACACACCATTGATCCTCAAATTTGGTGTACATCAGGATTACTACCTGAGGAGTTTGTAAAAAAAAAAAAAAAAAAAATTAGACTCCTAGGTGCCATTCTCAAGATTTCACTCAGTAGTTCTAGAATTTAGCCTGGGAATGTGCATTTTAATAAGCTTTTCAGTGATTTCAATACAGTGGTTTGACAATAACTTGAGAGAGCTGACTGCTTTAGGTTTTGGGTGGAAAGCATTCTGTTTATTCTTGTTTCAAGTGGTACAATTTGATTTCTTCAAATGAAAACCTGGTAAATATAATTCTGTGTGCTGCTTGTTTTATTTTTCTATTTGGAAGTCAGTATTGCTGACCATTGTTAGAGATAGTTCATTTCATTGTAGCACCAATTCTAGTCTTAATACTTCAGGAACACCCCAGATTTCCTCTCAAAGGCATTATTCCTGGATTTACATTTTAATCTTTTAAAAAAAATTATCGACTCTGAAGTATATCGGAATATATATATATATATATATATATATATATATATATATATATTTTAGGTGTAGATGGACACAACACAATGCCTTTATTTTTATGTGGTGCTGAGGATCGAACCCGGGTCCCACCCGCGCTAGGTGAGCACTCTACTGCTGAGCCACAATCCCAGCCCCTTAATCTTTGTTTTACTTTTTTTTGTCATAATCTTTAAAATTTTTTCTATTTTCAGGAGCCAGGAAGAAATCACTTTCCAAAAAGACAAAGGAACCTTATGCTTCTAATGAAGTTGAAGAAAATGACAGTGTCTTTGTAAGACTTCTTAAGACATCAGGACTTATTCTTAAAACTGGAGAGAATCAAAATCAACTAGGTAATATTTTATCTAAATCTGTTTTTGGGGTTTAATGAAAGGGCTTAGGATTAAATCGTGGATTTTTCTACATTGAGAGGCAGTGAAGATTAAAGATGAGTGGATCATCTGTCAGGAGAAAAGAATGAAATTACTTTTTAGAGAATATTGTTTTATTCTGTTGTACTGGTTAATGCACATTAAGTACTTCTAATTTTTTTTTCCAGAAAAAAAAAAGTTATATGCTAGTATTCTTCCATGCTTTCTTGTGAAAAATATATTAATATCCAGGAAGTAAATAGATCTGTGTCAGAATAATTTCAGAGAAAAATGTATAGAGTTATATAAGGCCCTGTTTTTAGGGCATAGTTTATTCTATTGTGCTAAGGTTATGGCAGGTGTTTTTTTAGGACACTTAGTGACTATCCTCTATTAAAACTACATCTAGGGGCTGGGGTTGTGGCTCAGTGGTAGTGCGCTTGCTATTCTGTTAAAACAACAACAACAACTACATTTTTACTGCGGGTTTAGGAAGGTTCAAACAAAATTAGGTTGAAGATATTTTTAGTGGTTTTATCAGATTAGAGACTCAGATCTTTTGGGAAGAAAACTGTTAGATGTCACAGACCATGGTAACCAGCTGTCTTTCTTTCCTCATAGCTGTGGATCAAATAATTTTCCAAAAG